GCCCTCAGGGCCCGGACAGGAACAGACAGGACTCGACGTGAAAACACACATTTCCAGGTTCCCATGGGCCTCTGGGCCCTCTGGGCTCGAGCTGACAGGTGCGATTTGGGAAGAAACCCGCGGAGCTGCCAACAACAGCGTGGACGCAGCCAAGAGGCGGACAGTGTCTTAATCAATGCCCAGGTGATTGAGTCCTTTCTTAGTATTTGTCTTTCCTAATCAGAGGGCTATGAATGATCCATTATGCTTAGTGGTTAATTGCCCTTCATAAAGACAGCTTTTGTATTTTTAATTAGGCAGTTAATTATTGTAACTAATAGCGTCACCTTGTACATTACAGACAGGCCTCCATCGATTGGCGCCTGGAACGTGGGATTCACACCCAAGTTAATGGAGCTGGTGAGTGAGGAAGAGCGGGGGTGCCGGGGGACTAATTATCGCTAATGAATTATGATGTGACCTTCTCAGAACAGTGAGCAATCGTGTGACAGTGAGATGACAGTGCCTCACATCTGCTCCAAACATGACTTCAGAAGCCGGTGAAAACAGGAGTAGGTGACAGGACTCCCTCACGGACGCTTCGGCCTCCGGTCCCCTTTGAGATACCCGCCTGAGTTCATCCAAACATCTGCTTTAAAGCCTGAGTAACAGTTTAGGGTTAAGTCAGTCCCTGAAAAATCTGCCGGGAAAAGCTTGGGGCCGTCCCCTCCCTGCGGGTCTGTCCCCTTGTGCCCCTGACCGCCCATCCCCCTCTGATGCGCCACCACAGGTGTTTCTCGGCCACCTGGGATCAGCCCCAGGTCCCTTCTTCGTTTTTCTTAGTTACTGAAAATATAATAGTGGTCATTATTACTGTTAAATGGTGACACGTGACTACCTCCCCCGGAGCCTGCCTCGGGCTCAGGGTCCCTGATCCGATTTCAGCCTCTCCCTGAGGGCAGAGCCACATGGTTCACGTTCCCTGCGTACATCCCTGGGACCAGGTGCCCGGCGCCCAGGTGACTCACTGAGTCTGTGCTGATGGAGTGAACCGGCCAATGAGGCAAGAAGCACCGACCCCATTCCAGAGAGGAGGAAACGGAGGCTCCAGGAGGCCGACGCCTACAGGATCACGCAGCTTGTCAGCAGCAACGCCGACAGCTGGCTGCAGCTATGTGGTGGCGTGCGCAGGCCCCGGCACCAGCCAGCGAGGGCGCTGGCACATTCCCAGCAAGGAAGCACCAGGAACACAGGCCCCGCTTCACCTGACACTCTACAGGTGGGAAGGGGTGTGTGCGGCCCACCTGGGCAGGCACTCGGTGACAGAAAGCGGGAGATGATGGGTCAGCACTGAGGGGGAGGCCCTGAGTGGCCAATGCTATGGCCTGAACTGTGTCAAATGAGGTCATAAGGGTGGGGATGTGATATATAGGTTTAGTGTCCTTATAAGAAAAGACACCAGAGAACTCTCTCCAGATGCACAAAGAGGCCATGTGAGGACACAGCAAGGTGGAAGCCTACAGGCCAGGAAGAGAACTCCCACCAGAAACCACCTGCTGGCACCTTGATCTTGGATGTCCAGCCTTCAAGACTCTGGGAGAACAGAATTCTGTTGTTGAAGCCCCCCGGTCTGCGGTTTTCTGTTATGGTAGGCCAACCAGACAGACAGCCAAAGGACCAGATCCTCGGTGCCTCCTGGTGGGGTCTGCTGCCAAATGTCACAAGTTTGGCTTTGGGAGGCCTGGAATGTAGAAATTCAGGATGTCAGGGAAGCCTGAGGCAGGTGTGGCTTTGGGGCGGCCACAAGGCCTGCAAGGGCCCTGAGGGAGTGAATCCAAGGAATTAAGGAATTTCAGCACCAGGGACAGGCCAGCTCTAGGACAGGCCACGTTATTCCCCCCAGTGCCCCAAACCCGGGGGACAGGGGGCCTACTGCAGAGCTCCCCCGGTCCAGAGCAGGTCCCCCTTGGAGACCACGGCCACTGCCTCAGCCGCCGCCTCCTCCCAGGAGCCCGTGGATGTGCCCCGACTTCCTGCGGCCGCACTGGATCTTTGAACTGACCTTTCCCTCATCCCGGCAGGCCGGGACAAACCCTGAGTGACAACACTGTCGCCTGGTGCAATTACTGCGCATCACAGAACCGGTCCCTTGCAAATCACCTCGGACCTCGCACATCTGCTGGCTGTCGGCATCTGCTGGGGCGCTCACCCGAAAATAATGGAGCCCTCTCATTATCGCCAGCAGCAGGTAGCGTGCGAGGACGATTACTAGACACCCTGGCCGACCTTGGCACAGCTCCACAGCCCACTGCCCTCTCCACTCACCACGGAGGGCTGAGGGGGACCTGGGCAGGAGCGAGGCGGCTCCCGGACGCAGGCCCAACCCCAGCACTCAGGAATCTGTCACCTCTAGCTGACCCAGGAGGGCCCCCTCCTTACCCTGAGTCTGCCATCACCATCCCCTAGTGACAAGTCCTACTCATCCTTCAAGGCCTGGTTCATATACATCCCTTCCTCCAGGAAGGCCCCCAGGCCTTCATCCTGCCCAGGCAGAGCACATCTTCCTCTGCATGGTTTTCACAGCCTTGATGCTGCTCTTGGCATCAGCACCGTGATGTCCTATCTCTGCCTCCTCCGTAGGGCTCTGTAGAGTGTTTTCTAAAGCACCCTGCCCAGCATGGTGCCCCAGTCACAGGGGCTGAGCCAGGGCATCCCCCAGCCTACTGGTCACATCCCCGGTGAGCGGAGCCTGTGGTCACCAACGTGCACATCATCTGGCATCTCCTGGGTCGGGATGCTGACTGTGGGTGGGTCAGGGTCACAGAGGTCAGAAGAGGCTCCTGCCAGGGGGTTGAGAGGCTGCAGAGCTGGGCCCAGGGCCCCTCGGGGGCGGTGCCATCAAAGGGCTCAGAGCACCAGCTCACAGGTGGGAGGTGCTCCCTGGACGACAGAGTGAAGCTCATGTCTGGGAAGTGACAGCTCAAAGGTACAGGGCCTGAAACTGCCAGGAATCGACTGCCCTTCCTGCATCCTTCTCGCCAGATGCTCTCTGGAACTCCCCCCACAGTGCATCGGGCATAGCATCCAGCACAGTGCCAGGAGCTCCGCCTGGACCCGCGGTGCCTCCCCCTCTCTCCACCGGGCCACCATGCAGACCTTTCGGCCGGTCTGCCGGCAGCTGCTCCGCCCACCCTGAAGATCCTCCCC